CTTGCAGGTGTCTGAGAATCTTTAGTAAAATACCCCTACAGATTCTATTTTGAAATCATGATTTTTTAAAAAGCAAAAATGTTTATTTCCAGTTAATTGCTATAGAGATGCCAAATGTCCACTCAGTAGTTGTGAGTAAAACAATTTGTCTTATTGCTCTTCACTTCACAGGCAAATAAACTCTTTGAGTGATTGTGTGAAGTTCAGAGTATTTGGTCAGGGATGAAATGGAGGCTAATAAGAGAAAACATAGGTTATAAGAGAAAACATGGAGTAGAGATTCTAGGGGCACTAAAGCAAATGCATGAGGTAGTCTATGCTTCTGGGTACCTCATAGTATGTTCCTTCTGAGTATTTGTATTCCAAACCTCTAAATTACAATTTTTTATATAACATTTCTTACTGGATTCTCCAAGATATAGTCTGCTTTTTGAAGAATATGACATTATGTAGAAATGGTGGTTACTTACCAAATGGTGTTTGCTACTAGGAAAGTAGCATCAGTTTTTGGCATGGGCATCTGAACTCTGAGAATAAGGTTTGGGATTCCATGACCTCATCTCCTTGCTGGGAAATGATGGTAATTTTATTCTTCCGCCTGTAATTGCAGTGACAGTGTCTCCAAGAGGATTGGAGATAATCTCTAAAAAATATTTTTTTGAAGTTAGAAAATTATAGAAAATTATTAACATTAATTACTGGAGTTATCCATTTAGAATGACATCATACCTAAAAGAGAAAATTATCTGTGAAATGAGAAAAAATAAAGGTCAATAGAGGAAACAGTTCTAAGACATGAAACATGTAAGTTGAACCATTGGCTATGCTAGAATCTTGGCTCCCATGAAATTCTTTTTTTTTTTTTTTTTTTTTTTTTTTTTGAGATGGAGTCTCGCTCTGTTGCCCAGGCTGGAGTGCAATGGCGCGATCTCGGCTCACTGCAACCTCCACCTCCCAGGTTCAAACAATTCTCCTGCCTCAGCCCCCCGAGTAGCTGGGATTACAGGCGCCCACCACCATGCCTGGCTAATTTTTGTATTTTTAGTAGAGACAGAGTTTCGCCATGTTGGCCAGGCTGGTTTTGAACTCCTGACCTCAGGTGATCCACCTGCCTCAGCCTCCCAAAGTGCTGGGATTACAGGTGTGAACCACCACACCCGGCCTAAATTCTTATTTCTACAAAGTGTGACATTTTTTCATTCATATGAATGGTGACAAATAACAAACTTGGAAGGAAAGAGTAAAAAGAGAGTAAGAGTACAAAGGTGGAAGAGTTGAGGGAAAGCATTACTCAACATCTTATCTGGTTCAGAGGCTCTTCTAGATTTGTATTTACAGCAGTGAACAACCTACAAAGAAATGTATTCTCCAGTAGTCTTTATTCAAATTGAGAGATGTGGTCTGGAAATAAAGAAAATATTGGAAAACATACACTAAGTTATTAAGAGACAGATTCTATGGAAAATATCAGAATATCAGCACCAAGTAATAACAAACATGTGAAGTAGGTAGAATTTCTATAGGAAATAGGTCAGGGTTGTCCTTGTAGTGGAGATAATATTTGAGCATGTATTTAAGCAGAGCAGAGAGAGATTGATTTGTAAACACAGGGAAAATGTGCTATGGAAAAGAAATAGCCAGTACAGTGTCCAAAAAGCAGGAGCTTGCCTGGAAGTGAAACAAATCATGTGGTCAAAGCACAATTCAAGAGTGACTGGTGATGGTTTTTATACCATAAAAAATCTCCCCAATGTGCACAATTACCTGTATATCCATTCACATGTCATTATCTCAGACCTCCTTGTCAATTGTCTTCTCAAACATATTCTTCCTTGCCCTTGATTACACTGCCAGGTCATTGACTGCTATCCTGTGAAATACTTGTTATTTGGACACTTATTCCTCTGCATAAAAAGGTTTACAAGGTATGCCACTTGTGGCTTAACCTACAGGGAAAATTTTGATCCCCAACTATCTTTCAAGAGGACGCAGAATAGGACTCTGAGGCAGCCACAATATTTTTTTTTTTTTTGAAATTTATCTTTTTTTCCACCCTGCCTTATGGTGCTGACACAATCTTTTTTTATTACTAAGTTTTTTTTTGGGGGGGGCGGGGTATCTGGTTTTTTTTTTTTTTTTGAGACGGAGTCTTGCTCTGTCGCCCAGGCTGGAGTGCAGTGGCCGGATTTCAGCTCACTGCAAGCTCCGCCTCCCGGGTTTACGCCATTCTCCTGCCTCAGCCTCCCGAGTAGCTGGGACTACAGGCGCCCGCCACCTCGCCCGGCTAGTTTTTTTGTATTTTTTAGTAGAGACGGGGTTTCACCGTGTTCGCCAGGATGGTCTCGATCTCCTGACCTCGTGATCCGCCCGTCTCGGCCTCCCAAAGTGCTGGGATTACAGGGTTGAGCCACCACGCCCGGCCTATTACTAAGTTTTTAAGAGCACTTTTAGGTTTGCAGTAAAATTAAGGGAAAGGGAAAGAGATATCCGTATACTCCCTGCACACCTACATATGCATACCGCCCCCTCCTCCCCCCGCCAACCCCAACCAGAGTGGCACATTTGTAACAATTGTAAACCTACACTGACACATCATTATCACCCAAAGTCCCTACTTTACATTAGGGTTCACTTTTAGTGTTGTACATTCTGTGTTTGGACAAAGGTACAATGACACGTGTCCACTATTAGAGTGTCATATAAAATAGTTTCATCGCCCTACTAATCCTCTGTGCTCCACAAATTCATCCCTCCTACCCTTCTAAACCCCCAGCAACCACTGATCTTTTTGCTCTTTCATACTTTTACCTTTTCTCAAATGTCATTAATTGGAATCATACAGCATATTGCCTTTTCAGATTGGCTTCTTTCATTTGGTGGTATGCATACAAGGTACCTCCATGTTTTTTCATGTCTTGATGATTCATTTACCTTCAGCATTGAGTAATGGTCCATTGTCTAGATATACTACAGTTTCTAATCCATTCACTTACTCAAGGACATTTTTGTTGCTTCCAAGGTATGCCAATTTTGGATAAAACTGCTATAAACATGTACAGGTTTTTGTGTGGACATAAATTTTCCATTCATATGGATAAATTCTGAAAAATATGGTTACCATATGTATGGTAAAAGTGTGTTTAGTTTTGTAAGAAACCACCAAACTCCATTTCAAAGTGGCTGTACAACTTTGCATTCCATCAGCAATGAGAGCTCCTGTTGCTGTACATTTTCTCAACCATTTGCAGTTGTCAGAGGTTGTTCATTCTAATGGATGTGTAGTGGTATCTCACTGCTGTTTTAATTTTCACTTCCCTGATGACATATGACAGGGATTATCTTTTCATACACTTATTTGTCATCTGCGTATCTTCTCTGGTGAGGTATCTAAACCTAAAGTCTTTGCCCATTTCGGTTTTTAATCAAGATGTTTCTTTTTTTTTTCTTTTGAGACGGAGTCTTGCACTGTCACTAGGCTCGAGTGCTGTGGCATGATCTCGGCTCACTGCAACCTCCACCTACTGGGTTCAAGCGATTCTTCTGCCTCAGCCTCCCGAGTAGCTGGGATTACAGGCATGCGCCACCGTGCCCAGGTAATTTTTGTATTTTTTAGTAGAGACAGGGTTTCACCATGTTGGCCAGGATAGTCTTGATCTCTTGACCTTGTGATCCACCTGCCTCAGCCTCCCAAAGTGCTGGGATTACAGGCATGAGCCACCAAGTCCAGCCCTGAAAATTTTATATGATTATACAAAACTTACTTCAGCTAATTGTGCTTCATTACCTCATGAGGAGTACTGGAAACTTTTGAGTACGTGCAATGGATAGAAACATTGAATTTGGACATAAAGAGTTGTGTCCTTTTTTTTTGTTGTTGGAGACAGAGTCTCGCTCTGTCATCTAGGCTGGAATGCAGTGGCGCAATCTCAACTCACTGCAACCTTCACTTCCCAAGTTCAAGTTATTCTGATTCTCCTGCTTCAGCTTCCTGAGTAACTGGGATTACAGGTGCCCGCCACCACCCCCGGCTAATTTTGGAATTTTTAGTAGAGACGGGGTTTCACCATGTTGGCCAGGCTGTTCTTGAACTCCTCACCTCAGGTGATTCGCCCACCTTGGCCTCCCAAAGTGCTGGGATTACAAGCGTGAGCCACCGTGGCTGACGAGTTGTGTCATTTTTCACTAGTTTTTCAGTTGGTTACCTGAAAGTATGAATATTTAAAGCATAATAGGATTCAGCAGTCTCAGGTAGGAAAAAAGTAACCTGGAAAGATCCCTGCATGTGAATGCACACACAGCTTTCAGGGATCTGAAGAAATCCAGCATGTGTGGGATGTAAAGGAGATACATGGTAGGAGGTGAAGCAATATGTAATGGTTGGTTCTTTAATATAGGCCCAGCCGAGAACTCTAACCTTTTTCCTAAAAACAATGAGAAGCCCATTGTGAGATCTAACCAGATGTACAATAGTAGTCATTCCACTTATAAATTTTTGTAGTAAATGTGTAAAGAAATACATTATATATTTGATAAAATCATTTTACAATTTTTAATTTTAATTTAATTTATTTTATTGGTATTAATTTGTCCTAAAGGATTTTTATTGTGAAATGTAAAATTTGATCTAGTATATATAAAATGTATATGTGTACATTTAACAATGTGCATATATGTACCTTAAAATAATATAAACTTTCTGGGCGACAGAGTGAGGCCCTGCTTAAAATAATCATAATTTGATATTTTATGCGTTAAAAACTTTTGGCTGCGCATGGTGACTCACGCTTGTAATCTCAGCAGTTTGGGAGGCTGAGGCAAGAAGATTGCATGGCCCTAGGAGTTTGAGACTAGCCTGGGCCCTAGAGGGAGACCCCATTCCTACAATAATTTTTTTAATTAGCTGGGTGTGGTGGTGTGCTTGTAGTCCCAGCTACTCAAGAGGCTGAGGCCGGAGGATCACTTGAGCCCAGGAGGTCGAGGCTGCAATGAGCTATGATTGTTCCACTGTACACCAGCCTGGACAACAGAATGAGACCCTGTCTCAAAAAAAAAAAAAAAATTAAATGTTTTGATTATACAAGGAAAATGAACATTCATGTATTAAAGCTTCATGTTTTATGAACAAAATTGACTTTGCAGGCAGGAGAGCGTTTTCTGGGGGCACCAGAAGCAGGGAACTTTCTTTGTCCATTGGATGCAGGGATGCCCACTATCCCTCCACTATCTTCCCGTCATAGCCCTGTCTGGCGTCTTTTGTCCCTGACAAAACCTACAAAAAGTGAATTTCACACTTCAGGCTGCGTGCATTTGAAGAGCGATAAGATAACATTTTTTCACTTCCAGCTACCAGTGGACATCTGCTGGGGTGGGCTGCATGGAATCTGAAATAATGTCTAAATACTGAAGCGACCCTCTACACTAGAGACTGATATACAGCTGACACCGACCCCCGCGGAATTGAAAATCATCGTATTACTTTTGACTCCCCCAGACCTTAACTACTAATAGCCGACTGTTGCCCGGAAGCCTTATGAAGTTGCCCAAAAGCCTTATGAATTACATAAACTCCCAATCGATTAACATTTTGTAGGATATATGCATGATATACGCATAACACATATATATATGATTACACATTTTGTATGATACATGCATTATATATATTTTAGTGTAAGAACTATACTTATACTAAAACAGACTAGAGAAAGGGTATCAGGAAAATTGTAAGAGGCTCGTTGACATTTCACCCAATAAAAAAAGGAAAATAAAAGAACATGGAAGGGAAAATACATTTACTAATCATTAAGTGGAAGTGTATCATCATAAAGGTCTTCATCCTTGTGTTCTTCACGCTAGGCAAGAGAATGAGGTGGGGCTGATCTTGTCTCTGGGGCAAGAGGTGGGGGAGCTAAAGGAGCACACTCGAAGTAACGTTTATTGGGAGAAAAAAAAAAAAAAGCCTACGTGTAAATGGACCCGCACAGCTGAAACCTGTGTTGTTCAAGTGTCAACCTACTTAAGACCTCAAACACCGAAGCCCCTCAGTCACCCTGGAGGGCGGCAGACTCAGTTTCCTAGCGCTCCCAGCAGTCTGCACACAAGGTGCCGTCTGCCGCAGCCTTGGGGAGACTACATTTCCCAGAAAGCTTTGCGTCGAGCGGCAGTACTTTGATCCAATGAAAATCCAAGACGGGCATTTCCGTGTGGGCGTGCCCCTCAGGGCGGGACTTCTGGCGTGTTGGCAGCGGTCATTTTGGCTGCCCTCCGGTCCGTTCTATCCGTCAGCCTCGTTAGTGTGCCTCTTCGGCATCGAAGTGACGGACCGCGAAGGCGCGAGAGTCAGGTCTGAGGGTCGGGGCAGAGCCGCCCGCGAGGCCTGCCTGGGGATAGCGGTGCTCGTGTTCCCCCCCTCGTCGCCCGCAGCTCCCGGTCCAGCTCCGTCCACAGACTCGGATGGCGACCGCACTGAGGGACCCTTCTCCGGTGAGCGCTGCGATCTCCGGACCTCCCCCGGCCGCGATTCTTAAGTCCCAAGTGAGGGGCACCAGCTCACGTTTCTGTAGCACAGGGTGGGGGACACTGAGGCTAGTGGGTGGGGCCCCTGTTTCTGACATCCGATGTGGTGGGCAGGGGGACAAGGGACAGGACCGGCGCTTGCAGAGCTTGGATAGGCGACCGAGAAGGGGGCATTCAGGAACCTGGGCTCCACATTGTTACTGCAGGGAACAAAGTTTGAGAAAGATCTACCTTTATTCTTAGGGCCGTGGGAGCCATAGAGAGCTTAAACGAGAGACACCATCTGAGTTAGGATTTGAAAAATCCTCTGCAGGCTGTTCAGTGGAAGAAAAGACTTTAGAGATGGATGAGGACGTTGAGGCAGAGGGAGGTTGAATATTTTTCCAAGGCCACACAACTGGTGAGAGGCAGCACTAAGGACTGAGGCGCACAGGTTAGACGGTCCACCCAAAGTTACGTGGCTCTCGGCCGAGGCAAGGGTACAGGGAAGGTCTGTGCCCATGGAGCACTGCCATGATCACATTCCTCTGAGGCCTGCGTCTTTCCACAGGTTCCCATAGCTACAGAGGTACTTTTCAAGCTTACACAGGTAAGTGGAGGTATCTCAGCCCCTCACTGGTCTGAAATATCCCTCCTCCCTCCCCACACAGATATTTTCTTTAGATTTGTGGTGTAATGGGACTCACCTACCATTCTCTCAGCTGTTGGTTTGGGAACCCTAGAGAATCCCTGAGCTCAGGGTGCTGAGTCCAGGCCAATGTTTCCATTTGGAGCAGCCAATGTAAAGGGGTGAAAGTTTATGATAGCCAGTACCAGCTTTTGGAACTCCTTGGAGGTGAGTCTGAACTGGTTCAGGGAACTGCAGGTTTCCTTCATTTCTGTGAAGTTTGGCATCTATTGTGAGGAAGTTGAAGTTTGGGATCAGAGGAGGGAGATTTCTCTAACCCAAGTGTTGACAGGATACAGAGTAGAAAACAATGAAAACAGTGACTAATGGGAATGTGAAGAGACAGCAGGGATCAATGACACCAAGGTCTGGTGTCTCTTCTGACTTGGGGAGCTTGGGAGGAGAATGTGTGAGGACATGGATTTTGAGTCTTCCAAAGTGAGACTGTTCATGGTTTCATCAATCCCTATTATGCTAGGGAAGTGTGACCTTTGAAGATGTGGCCGTGTACTTCTCCTGGGAGGAATGGGATCTCCTTGATGAGGCTCAGAAACACCTGTACTTCGATGTGATGCTGGAGAACTTTGCACTTACATCCTCCCTGGGTAAGGCCCTCATACTCACCCTTGTGCCCTGTACCAGGCTCTGTGTTTCTCCTTTTCCTCAGGAGCAGCTCTGTCCTCATATCTGAACCATAGGCACTGCCTCCTTCCCCAGTTCCCTGGGTAGATGTTGTGGACTGAGTGCAAGCCTACTTCCCTTGTCATCCCAGCCCAAAAGCATCTTGGGTAAGGATTTGGGATCAATCTTTACCCAAATTTACAGTAAGCCTAATAGATCCCACCTGACTTGCCTTCTCCCTGTCTGGTAACTTTCTAGATCTATGGCATCCAGTTTTCCCTCCCTTCATGTACCTGACATTTATTTGTGTTTGACTGTGACATGAAATGCAGTCACTGACATTGTCACTATTTACACAAACTGTTCTTGAACCACCAGCCTTTCCATTAACAGCAGAACATTCTAACGAATTGCGCCACAGAGACACTACACAGACTGTTCTTATAAAAACCTCCTCCAAGGTGTTCTTCTTTGTTTATTTTTAATTGTAAAATATATATAACAAACTTTACTATTTTAATCATTTTCAAGTATATAGTTCAGCAACATTTAGTACATTCACATTGTTGTATAACTATGGCCACCATCCTTCTATACTACTTTTTCATCTTATAAAACTGAAACTTTGTACTCATTAATAACTCTTCCCATCCCCTGGCAACCACCATTTTGCTTTTGGTCTGTATGAATTTGTCTACTGTAAGTACCTCATATCAGTGGGATCACACAATATTTATTCTTTTCTATCTGGCTTACTTCACTTAGCATAATATCTTCAAGGTTCATCCATGTTGTAATATGTATCAGAATTGCTTCTTTTTAAGGCTGAATAATATTCTTTTGTATGTATTAGTTTATCCATTCCTTCATCAGTGGACACAGGTTGTTTTCACCTTCTGGCTGTTGTGAATAATATTCCTGTGAACATGGGTGTTCAGATACATATTTGTGTTCTTGCTTTCAATTCTTTTGGGTATTGGCCCAAAAGCAGAATTTCTGGATCATAAGGTAATTATTTTTAATTTTTAAGGAACCACCCAAATTGTTTTTCATAGCAGCTGCACCATTTTACATTCCCACAAGCAGCAGACAAAGGTTCCAGTTTCTTCACACCCTCACCATCACTTGTTATTTTCTGATTTTTTTTGATAAGTCATCCAAATTGGTGTGAGGTGATATCTCATTGTGGTTGTGATTTGCAGATTACTGATATTGAGCATCTGTTCATGTGCTGATTGGCTATTTGTATATCTTCAAATGATGTTTTTATTCAAGTCCTTTGCCTATTTTTAAATTGGGTTTTATTAATTGTAATTAGAAGTGTTAAATATAATTTTTTATTGAGCTTTAAGAGTTATCTGTGTGTTCTAGATATTCCCTTATCAGATACGTAATTTGCAAATGTTTTCTCTTATTTTGTGGGTTACGTTTTTAGTGTGTTGATAGGATCCTTTGATGTACAAGTTTCTCATTTTGATGAATTCAGTTTTACTGTTTTACTTTTATTGTCTATGCTTTTTATATCATATCCAAGGAATCATTAACAAGTCCAGTGTCATGAAGCTTTTTCCTTGTTTTAAGAGTTTTATAGTTTTAGTGCTTACATTCAGATCTTTGATCTGTTTTGAATTAATTTTTATATGTGGTGTCAGGTAAGGGACCAACTTCATTCTTTCACATGTAGATATCCAGTTTTCCTAGCATCATGTGTTGAAAATTTGTCTTCTTTCTCCTGGTCAAAAATCATTTGGCCAGATAATTTGAGGGTTTATTTCTGGGGTCTCTTCTAGTCCATTGATCTATATGTCTTTCTTTATGGGAGTACCACAGTTTTAATTTCTATAGCCTTGCAGTAAGTTTTGAAATTACAAACTGTGAGTCTTCCAACTTTCATCGTTTTCAAAATTGTTGTAGCTTTTCTGTGTCTCTTAATATTTCAAATGAATTTTAGGATGGATTTTTTTATTTCTGCAAAATAATATCATTTGGATTTGATAGGTATCGCACTTTCTATAGATTATTTTGTCTAGTATAGATATCTTAACAATATTGAGCACTCTAGTCCATGAACAGGCGTGTGATATATTTTCTTTTATTAATGTTTTATTTAATTCATTTTAGCAATATTTTGTAGTTTCTAGTGTACAAGGCTTTTACTTGTTTGGTTAAGTTAATCTTTAATGTTTTATTCTTTTTGGTATAAGTAGAATTGTTTACTTTTCAAATTGTTCATCATTAGTGTATAGAAGCGTAACTGATTTTTGCACATTGTATTTGTATTCTTCTATTTGCTGAATTTGCTTATTAGTTGTAACAGTTTTTTCGTGGAATCTTTATGGTATTCCATGTATATCATCTGTGAGCAGGGATAATTTTACTCCTCTTTTCCCATTTTGGTCCCTTTTCTTTCTTTTTCTTGCCTAATTGCTACATTGAACAAAAGTGCTAAAAGTAGGCATCTTTATCTTGTCGTTAATCTTAGAGGAAAATCTTTCAGTCTTTCATTGTCGAGTATAATTTTAGCCATGGGTTTTTTGGGGTTTTTTTTGTTTTGTTTTGTTTTGCATATGGATTTTATTATGTTTAGGTAATTTCCCCCATTCCTGGTTTGCTGAGTGTTTTCCTCACAAAGAAGTGTTGCATATTGTCTAATGCTTTTAGTGCATCAGCTGAGATGATTGTTTCCGTTTTTTTAGAGGTGGGATCTTGCTGTGTTACACAGGCTGGTCTTAAGCTCCCAGCCTCAAGCGATCCTCCTGCTTCAGCCTCCCAAGTAGCTGGGATTACAGGTGCAAGCCACCACTTTGATCAGTTTTTGTTTGTTGAACCATCCTTGCGTTCTAGGAATAAATTCTATCTGGTAGTAGTACATAATCCTTTTAATATGCTGTTGAATTCAGTTTGCTAATATTTGGTTGATGGTTTTTACATTAATAATCAAGGATATTGGCCGGGCGCGGTGGCTCAAACCTGTAATCCCAGCACTTTGGGAGGCTGAGACGGGTGGATCATGAGGTCAGGAGATCGAGACCATCCTGGCTAACACGGTGAAACCCCATCTCTACTAAAAAATACAAAAAACTAGCCGGGCGAGGTGGCGGGCGCCTGTAGTCCCAGCTACTCGGGAGGCTGAGGCAGGAGAATGGCGTGAACCCAGGAGGTGGAGCTTGCAGTGAGCCAAGATCTGGCCACTGCACTCCATCCTGGGCGACAGAGTGAGACTCCGTATCAAAAAAAAAAAAAAAAAAAAAAAAAAAAAAAAAAAAATCAAGGATATTGGTCTGTAGTTTTATTTTCTTATACAATCTTTGTGTCATTTGGAATCAGGGTAATGCTGGCCATATAGAATGAGTTTAGAAGTGTGTACGCTACAGTTTTTTGAGAGAATTTGAAAAGGATAAGTATTAGTTCTTAATTAAATGATTGGTAGAATTCATCTGTGAAGCCATCAAGTCAAGGGCTTTTCTTTAAGGTTTGTCTTTTTTTTTGAGATGGAGTCTTGCTCTGACACCCAGGCTAGAGTGCAGTGGTGTGATCTTGGCTCACTGCAACCTCCACTTCCTGGATTCAAGCAATTCTCCTGCCTTGACCTCCCGAGTAGCTGGGGTTACAGGAACATGCCACCACACCTGGCTAATTTTTGTATTTTTAGTAGAGACAGGGTTTCACCACGTTGGCCAGGCTGGTCTTGAACTCCTGACCTCAGGTGATCCACCCGCTGCCTTGGCCTCCCAAAGTGCTGGAATTACAGGCATGAGCCACTCTACCTGGCCAGGTTTGTCAATTTTGATAACCTTTTCAAAGAAACACCTTTTGGTTTTGTTGATTTTTTTTTTCTATTGTTTTTCTCTTCTGTATTTTATTTATCTAGGCTTTAGTCTTTATTATTTTTTTCCTGCCAGCTTTGGTATTAGTTTGTTCCTCTTTTTATAATCCCTTAAGTTGTAAAAATAGATTGTTGAGTTGAGATCTTTCATCTTTTTAAGGTTTATAGCTATAAATTTCCCCTTTAGTACTGCTTTTACTGCATCTCCAACTTATTTCCCTTCTGATTTCTTCATGGCCCCATTGGTTGTTCAGTATTGTATTAATTTCTACAGATTTGTAAATTTTTTAGTTTCCTTCTATTAAGAGTTCCCAACCTCATCCCACTGTGGTTGGAGAAGATACTTTGTATGGTGTGTGTCTTTCTAAATCAAATGAGGCTTAATTTATGGTCTGTCCTGGAGAATGTTCTAGGTACACATGAAGGGAATGTATATTCTGTTGTTGGGTAGAATGCTCTTTATATATTTGTTAGAGCTAGTTGGTTGTTTAGGTCCTCTGTTTTCTCACTTCTCTCTGATTCTTCTGTCCACTGCTGAGAGTCAGGTATTGATGTATTTAACTGTTATTGTAGAACCATCCATTTCTCCCTTCAGTTCTGTCCATTTTTGCCTCATGTGTTTTGATGGTCTATTATTAGGTGCATAAGTGTTTATAAATGTTATATCCTCTTTCTCTATTGACCTTTTATTAGTATATAATATCCTCTTATATCTCTTGTTACCCTTTTGATTTAAAGTCTCTATTGTATATTAGTGTGCCATTCTTACTCTTTTTTGCGTGCTATTTGCATGGAATATCTTTTTGTAGCCTGTCACTTCCACCTTATTTATATCTTTGAATCTAAAGCGAATCTCTTGTAGACATCATAAAGTTGGATCATGGGTTGTTTTTATTTTAACCCATTCTGCCAATCTTTGTCTTTTGGCAGAGTTTAAGCTAAAAGTTTGGAGAATTTAAGGCATTTACGTTTAAGGTAATCACTGATAGGGAAGGGCTGACTTCTATCATTTTGCTCTTTGTTTTCCCCATGTCTTATAGCCTTATAGCTTTTTTGATCCTAATTGCCTACATTACTGCCTCTTTTGTGTTCGGCTCACTTTTTTTTTTTTGTAGTGAAACTTTTTAATTCCTTGTCATTTCCTTTGTGTACTCTTTCTTTCTTTCTTTCTTTCTTTCTTTCTTTCTTTCTTTCTTTCTTTCTTTCTTTCCTTCCTTCCTTCCTTCCTTCCTTCCTTCCTTCCTTCCTTCTTTCTTTCTTTCTTTCTTTCTTTCTTTCTTTCTTTCCTTCCTTCCTTCCTTCCTTCCTTCTTTCTTTCCTTCCTTCCATCCTTCCTTCCTTCCTTCCTTCCTTCCTTCCTTCCTTCTTTCCTTCCTTCTTTCCTTTTCTTTCTTTCTTTCCTTCTTTCCTTCCTTTCTTTCTTTCCTTCCTTCCTTCTTTCCTTCCTTCCTTCCTTCTTTCTTTCTTTCCTTCCTTCTTTCTTTCTTTCCTTCTTTCTTTCTTTTCTTTCTCTTTCTTTCTTTCTTTCTTTCTTTCTTTCTTTCTTTCTTTCTTTCTTTCTTTCTTTCTTCTTTCTTTCTTTCTTTCTTTCTTTTCTTTCTTTCTTCCTTCCTTCCCTTCCTTCCTTCCTTCCTTCCTTCCTTCCTTCCTTCCTTTCTTTCTTTCTTCTTTCTTTTCTTTTTCTTTTCTTTTTCTTTTTTCTTTTCTTTTCTTTCTTTCTTGTCTCTCTCTGTCACCCAGGCTGGAGTGCAGTGGGGCGATCTTGGCTCACTGCAACCTCTGCCTCCCATGTTCAAGTGATTCTCCTGCCTCAGCCTCCTGAGTAATCCCTCCTGGGATTACAAACACACACCACCATACCCAGCTAATTTTTGTATTTTTAGTAGAGACAGGGTTTCACCATGTTGGCCATGCTGGTGCCAAACTTCTGACCTCAGTTGATCCACCAACCTCAGCCTCCCAAAGTGCTGGGATTACAGGCGTGAGCCACCATGCCCAGTTCTTTGTATACTTTATGTAGCTCTTTTTTAAAAATAGTTACCATGGGAATTACATTTAACATCCTAAAGTTACAACACTAACTTGAATTTATACAAACTTAACTTCTTTAACTTTCCTTGTTCTTTTTTGTGCCCAGTTCTTCTGGGCCAATGTTAGTTGCTCACGTGTCCTGTCTTTCCCTTAGGACTTACATCATCCTGGTCTCATGTAGTTGCTCAACTAGGACTAGGGGAAGTGTCCTCTGTTCTTCACAGGATGTTCATAACTCTAGCCTCAGCAAGATGGGATCAGAGAGGGCCTGGCCTACATGAATGGCACTTGGGAAAAGGCATGTCATCAGGTCTGTGTTTAAATTGCACCAAGAACCTGTCCTGTTTGACTTGTCTTGATGCCATTGCCTGAGACACTTCACTTTGACCTTCTCCTCTTCATTCTTAGCAGTTTGCAAACTTGTTATTTCTCCTACTTGTCATTTTTATTTTGACTTCTAGCTAACGCTAATCCTCACCTCTCTGGACTCCTTATCCCATCTGTTCTTTACACTGTTCCCTCTGTAGCGTTCTGTAATATTATTTTGTCCTGAAGTGTGCATATCTCCCTTAATAGTCCCAGTTACTGTTCCAGTGAGATTTTCCTGGGCCTGGACATACACTTCACGGCATCACTTGTCACCAGCAGATACGATCCCGCTAAAAGCTATTATCAGAGGAATTAATTGTAGAACATGCCTCTTAGTCCTGGGCCATACCTTAGCCTTGTGTACTGTACCTGGGAGGGCCCACCCTATTCCATAACCTTAGGGACCAGTAATACACAACAGGTGCTTCCTCAACCTGACCCCCAACTCAACTTTTCCTGAAGACAGGCCCATAAACTAGTTCTTTGCTATAACTGATGTGCATTTGTGATTGCATTGCCTCCTCCTAATAAAGGTAACATGTACTTCACCACGACCTCTTTACTTTTAGGTTGTTGGCATGGAGTGGAGCATGAGGAAACACCTTCTGAACAGAGAATTTCTGTAGAAGGAGTGCCACAGTTCAGGACTTCCAAAGAAGGTTCATCTTCCCAGAATGCCTACTCCTGTGAAATATGTGGCCTGGTCTTGAGAGATATTTTGCACTTGGCTGAACACCAAGGAACAAACTGTGGGCAGAAACTACACACATATGGAAAACAATTCTACATCAATGCAGATCTTCAACAGCACCAGAGGCAGCACATTAAAGAGGCACCTTTCACAAGTTATGTGGACACAGCCTCATTTACAAAGAGCTGCACAGTCCATGTGTCGGAGAAGCCCTTCACCTGTAGGGAGATCAGGAAAGACTTCCTGGCCAACATGAGGTTTCTCCATCAAGAGGCCACTCAAACAGGGGAGAAGCCAAATAACAGTAACAAGTGTGTGGTGGCCTTTTACAGTGGGAAAAGTCATCGCAACTGGGGAAAATACAGTAAAGCCTTTAGCCACACAGACACACTTGTTCAGGACCAGAGAATCCTCACTAGAGAAGGGCTTTTTGAGTGCAGCAAATGTGGGAAAGCATGTACGCGAAGATGTAACCTCATTCAGCACCAGAAAGTCCACAGTGAAGAAAGGCCTTATGAATGCAACGAATGTGGAAAATTCTTTACCTACTACTCCAGTTTCGTTATACATCAAAGAGTTCATACTGGAGAAAGGCCTTATGTGTGCCCTGCATGTGGGAAATCCTTTAGTCAGATCTACAGCCTCAATAGCCATAGGAAAGTTCACACTGGAGAAAGGCCTTATGAATGCAGCGAATGTGGGAAATCTTTTAGCCAAAGGTCCAACCTCATGCAGCATCGCAGAGTTCACACTGGAGAAAGACCTTATGAATGCAGTGAATGTGGGAAATCTTTTAGCCAAAACTTCAGCCTCATTTACCACCAGAGAGTTCACACTGGAGAAAGACCTCATGAGTGCAATGAGTGTGGAAAATCCTTTAGCCGAAGCTCCAGCCTCATTCACCACCGGAGACTTCACACTGGAGAAAGACCCTATGAGTGCAGTAAATGTGGGAAATCGTTTAAGCAAAGCTCCAGCTTCAGTTCACATCGGAAAGTCCACACAGGGGAAAGGCCTTATGTGTGTGGGGAATGTGGGAAATCCTTTAGCCATAGCTCCAACCTTAAGAACCACCAGAGGGTTCACACTGGAGAAAGGCCTGTTGAGTGCAGTGAATGTAGCAAATCCTTTAGCTGTAAATCTAACCTCATTAAACACCTGAGAGTTCACACTGGAGAAAGGCCTTATGAGTGCAGTGAATGTGGGAAATCCTTTAGCCAAAGTTCTAGCCTCATTCAACACCGGAGAGTTCACACTGGAAAAAGGCCTTATCAGTGCAGTGAATGTGGGAAATCCTTTGGCTGCAAATCTGTCCTCATTCAACACCAGAGAGTTCACACTGGAGAAAAGCCTTAACTGTACTGAGAATATGCAATTTCCTTTTAGTGTAATTATACTGAAGGAGTACACCTGTGAGAGAGACAAGTACCTGAACTGGAAGCCCCAACATCTAAGGATATACAGTGGGCAGATTCCCCTTAAGTTCCAGGTATGTGTTACACTTTCTAACCTGCCATTTAGAAAGTGTTAGACTTTCTCACCTGCCATATATGGCTCTTGCCATTTATGTCACTGACAGTTTCTGAGGCAGAAGCCGTATCACATCTACCACCTGTGAGGTCCACGTAATGTGCACCATTTACCTCCTGAACCTGCTGAAGGAAGCAGACCTCTGTTTCTCCCCATTTGCTAGAAGAAATCATGAATAGTCTGAGTCTTCCTCTCTGACAAGTTAGGGCATGGACTTGACCCAGCTTTGTGCCAGAGAACCCAATATGAGTGTTGTTGGCAGCTTGCCAAGAAGGACTCTTCTTTCAAGACATGTTGGTTTCATGTGACACCTCCATGGATTTTTTCCAGCCTCTCAGTCACCAACTTTGGAACTGCTTGCCTCACATCGCTTTGTTTTTTACAATAATAAAGGCATTATTATTTAAGCTACCTTTATCTTGGCATTTGATTCACTCTTTAAGGTGGTTCAAAAACAGAATTGGGCCCTGCTAGCTTTACAGAGTAAACACTTTTGGAGGGAGAGAGAGGTATCATATTATTTGTATGCCTCAGAGACAACAGTATAATGGAAAAATACAACTGTCTTTCCAGTTTTGGCATAATCTGAATTTGAATTATTGCCCATACAAAAAATTAGCTGGGTGTGGTGGTGGGCCCCTGTAGTCCCAGCTACTCAGGAGGCTGAGGCAGGAGAATGGCGTGAACCTGGGAGACGGAGCTTGCAGTGAGCCGAGATCGTGCCGCTGCACTCCAGCCTGGGTGACAGAGTGAGACTCCGTCTCAAAAAAAAAAAAAAAAAAACCACCTGGGCATGGTGGCATGCACTTGTAGTCCCAGCTACGCAGGAGGCTGAGGCAGGAGAATCACTTGAACTCGGGAGGTGCAGGTTACAGTGAGCCGAGATTGCCCCATGGCACTCCAGCCTGGGTGACAGAGAGAGACTCTTATCTCAAAAAAAAAAAATACATAGAACTACACACACACAACGAGTGTATAAAATGGTGAGGTCTGAAAGAGGTCTGAGGATTGAACCAATGTCGCATTCCTGGTTTTGATGATAAGGTTATATAAGATGTCACTACTGGGGAAAGTAGGTGAAAGGTATTCTGCACTATTGATATGGTGTGGATATCTGTCCTGCCCAAACCTCATGTTGAAATGTAATCTCCAATGTTGGAGGTGGGGCCTGGCAGGAGGTGATTGGCTCATGAGGGTGGTTTCCCCTGAATGGTTTAGCACCATCCTTTTGGTGCTGTCCTCACCATAGTGAGTTCTCATGAGATCTGGTTGTTTGAAAGTATGTGGCACCTCCAACTTTGCTCTTGCTCCTGACCCTACTCTTACATTTGCAACGTCCTGCATATCTGTATTTCAAACTAAATTCTTAAAAATTTTCACTGTTCTGTATATTTCCACAGTGTGTATAGTTCACTGTTCTGTATATTTCCACATCAGAATGTGTAATTTTCAGCCAGATGTGGTGGTTCACTCTTGTAATCCCAGCACTTTGGGAGGCCAAGGTGGGTGGATCACCTGAGGTCAGGAGTTCGAGATCAGCCTGACCAACATGGTAAAACCCCCTCTCTACTAAAAATACAAACAGTAGCTGGGTGTGGTGGTGGGTGCCTGTAATTCCAGCTACTCAGGAGAGTTAGGTTACTCACCACTATACTAATGAGGATGAAGCCTCTTTTTTTTTTTTTTTTTTTTGAGACCGAATTTTTGCTCTTGTTGCCCAGGCTGCAATCGTACGATCTCGGCTCATTGCAGCCTCCTCCTCCTGGTTCAAGTGATTCTCCTGCCTCAGCCTCTCGTGTAACTGGGACTACAGGCTTGAACTACCATGCCTGGCTAATTTTTGTATTTTTAGTAGAGATGGGTTTCACCATGTTGGCCAAGCAGGTCTTGAACTACTGATCTCAAGTGATCCACCCACCTTGGCCTCCCAAAGTGTTGAGATTACAGGCGTGAGCCGCTGCACCCAGCCTAAGATTATTCTTTACTTTGTTGTTGTTGTTGTTGTTGTTGTTTTTAACAAGGTCTCATTTGTCACCCAGGCTGGAGTGCAGTAGCATGATCTCAGCTCACTGCAGCCTCAACCTCCTGGGTTCAAGAGATCCTCCTGCCTTAGCCCCTTTTCTGCTCTCCACCCTCACCCCCAATAGCTGGAACTACGGGTATACCACCACTCCCAGCTAATTTTTGTGCTTTTTGTAGAGACTAGGTTTCATCATGTTTCCCAGGCTGATCTCCAACTCCAGAACTCAAGTGATCTGCCAGCCTCAGCCTCCCAAATTGCTGGGATTACAGGCGTAAGCCACCGGGCATTGTTATTCTTCACTTTGAATCCCACATGTTATTTAAAGCTAAGGCCTGAGGCAAAAGAAAATTCACTTCTATACTTCAACTAATTCTATTTTATTACTAGGTAATAGGTCCCAATATTTACATTTATGTATACATACACACTTTTTTTCTATACCATTAAGATAATGGTAGACCTTTATGTCAAGAAAATGCTATAGGCCGGGCGCACTTAATTTGGGAGGCCGAGGCGGGAGGATCACTTGAGTCCAGGAGTTCGAGGCCAGCCTGGACAATGTGGTGAAACCCTGTCTCTTAAAAAAAAAAAAAAAAAAAAAAAAAAAATTAGGCCGGGCGCGGTGGCTCAAGCCTGTAATCCCAGCACTTTGGGAGGCCGAGACGGGCGGATCACTAGGTCAGGAGATCGAGACCATCCTGGCTAACACAGTGAAACCCCGTCTCTACTAAAAAATAGAAAAAACTAGCCAGGCGAGGTGGCGGGCGCCTGTAGTCCCAGCTACTCCGGAGGCTGAGGCAGGAGAATGGCATAAACCCAGGAGGCGGAGCTTGCAGTGAGCTGAGATCCGGCCACTGCACCCCCAGCCTGGGCGACAGAGCCAGACTCCGTCTCAAAAAAAAAAAAAATTAGCTGGGTGTGGTATCATAAGCCTGTAATCCCAGCTACTTCCAGCTACTCAGGAGGCTGAGGTGGGAGGATCTCTTGAGTCCAGGAGGCAAAGGTTACAGTGAGCTCAGATCCCACCACTGTACTGCAGTCTGGGTGACAGAGTGAGAACCTGTCTCAAAACAACAACAACAAAAAACAGCTGTTGGTAATTGAATTTATCTTTATTGAACAAATCCTCTTTATTGCATGTTTTAAATTTTATTAATTTGTTTACATTTTATTGACTTGTAATAAAACGATTTTGAAATTACCAGAGAAGGACAGGCACTGTGGCTCACGCCTCTAATCCTACCAGTGTGGGAGGCAGAGGCGGGCGGATCACCTGACATCAAGAGTTCGAGACCAGCCTGACCAACATGGTGAAACCCCGTCTCTACTAAGAACACCAAAAAACAATTAGCCGGGCGTGGTGAAGGCACCTGTAGTCCCAGCTACTCAGGAGGCTGAGGCAGGACAATGGCTTGAACCCGGGAGGTGGAGGTTGCAGTGAGCCGAGATCGTGCCATTGCTCTCCAGCCTGGGCGACAGAGACTCCGTCAAAAAGAAAAAGAAAAGAAAACAGAAAAGAGAGAAGAGAAGAGAAAGAAGGAAGGAAGGTTGGTTCCTGGGTAGATGAAAGTGAGGGATCGGGGTCGGGCGCGGCGACGCCGCAGCTGCGGGGCTCGGTGGACCCGGCGGGCAAGAGCCCCAGGGCGCTGCTGGCGGCGGGCGAGGAGCTGGGCGCGGGGCGGCGGCTCCAGGCGCTCTGGCCGCTCCGCGTCTGGGGCCCAGCGCCGCACCCGTCAGGGAATCCTTGGGGTTCCGCCCGCGGCACCCAGCGGCGGGGAGGAGTCGGCGCAGTCGTGCGGCCGCGGAGGACGGCGAGACGCGGGGCTGCGGCTCCGGCCGAGGGGCGCCCGGGACAGTGAGAAGCGGCGGCGGGACCGGGTCACCGGCAGGGCGCGCTCGGCGGTGGAGACGGCTTCATCCGATCCAGGGCTGGCGGGCGGCCCGGATGGCACGCCGTCTCCTGCCGAGAATTCCAGTTTCCCCCTAAATCGCTCAACAAGCGAGAAGGTTTTGGGATTCGAATTCGGTGGGACAAGCGAAGTCGCCTTTCCTTCGTAAACAGATGGAATCCCTGGTCCACAAACGTGCCCTGTGCCCGTTTCGTACAACACGCGATGGCTGGTGCGGATGAGAACACAGCAACTCTGTGCCAGATGGAAAGCTTCAAGGCTCTGTGAATCCAAGGTCAAAAACGCCAAAAAGGAAAGTCCTTTGCCAGGACAAGCGCACGCGTGCTGGTCGTGGAGCGCCCCCTCCTCACGGAGACCTGCCTGGGATTCATGTCCTTCATTAACAGCGAGGCTAAGCTGGGCTATTCCATGACTTACCAGGGGCAAAATTGGCTTTTAGCCGCATTCTGGGAGCTATCCCCACTAAGAAGGCCAAGTGATGTGGGGTCTGAGAGCCTGGCAATCATGCAAAGCCGCTGCTGGCTGGAAGCATAGGGGTCTTTTACCTTTTGGGATGTATGCACGATTAGAAAAGTAAAGTGGATAGTAACTGGATATTGCACTCTGCTAATGCAAGCTACAGACAAAAGCAAAAGGAATCTAGCTGCCACTGTGCTACTGGGATTCCATTTTCTGTAACTTCAGTTCTGATGTTTTTCCTGGAGTGTATCTACTTGGCTTCCAGCGGTTCTTCCCACCTCAGCCACTCCAGCATGCTAACATCCGGCAGCACACCCCTTACCATTTGTGTAGGCTGCTAAATACAGGGAGGCAGCTGGTATCTCCAGTGTCTGTAGTCACAAAGATGTTTACACTTGGTGTCAAATTTTGTATTTTAAATGTAATACTTTTTTTTTTAAGCTCATACAACACAAGTTCACTGACATCAGTCTGCACCTGTCAGCTCCTGGGTGAATCATTGCTCTTTTGTAAATGTGTGTTTAACCTAAAGCCACCCTTTTTCTAAAATTAATCCAAGGCCGGGTGCGGTGGCTCACGTCTGTAATCCCAGCACTTTGGAAGGCTGAGGCGGGTGGATCACGAGGTCAGGATTTCGAGACCGGCCTGATCAAAATGGAGAAACCCAATCTCTACTAAAAATACAAAATAAGCTGGGCGTGATGGGGCACGCCAGTAATCCCAGCTACTCCGGAGGCTGAGGCAGGAGAACTGCTTGAACCCAGGAGGTGGAGGTTGTGGTGAGCCAAGATCGCACCACTGCACTCCAGCCTGGGAAACAAGAGTGAAACTCCCTCTCAACAAATAAATTAATTAATTAAAATTAAATTAATCCAAGTTGTGTTGATATTTAAAGTATCTTTGCCAGGCCTAAGTAGGTTTACAGAAAATCATCTTAGGACAACTTATCACTTTGAGAAAGTCACAGGCCGGGCACGGTGGCTCAAGCCTGTAATCCCAGCACTTTGGGAGGCCGAGAC